TGCAATCTATGAACAATAGTCCACATTTGTTTACGAACTTCATCTGGAACAGATACATAGGATTTGACATTACTATTTGTCCCTGCTAAATGATGCTTAAATCGAAAAGCACCGCCGCTATACTCACTATGACAATAGTTGCACTTGATATTTCTTGATCCATCGTTTACGGGAGTTCCATGTTCCCATGTCACATCTTGTCTTTGACCAAGAGCATTTTTTGCAACTTTCTTATTTCTCACATTTCTAATACTTGAATTTATTGGAGAAAGTGACATACTACTACCAATACCACCAACCATCTGTCTCATTAAAAAAATTACAATAAATAACTTTGATATAAAAGATTAAAAAATACAAACATTTTTTGAAAATTAAAACATATAATAATATAAAATAAAATAAAAAAGCAAAAGAAAGAGTGTAAACAAATATTTTACAAATATGTATAAATAAATAAATTATACTCATAAAATTGTAAGGAAATTTCCCTCAGACTTACACAGGTTAGTGTTAATTTTGCTATTCGTGTAGAATTGTGAGGAAATGAATTGATGTGGATCTATTTTATAGTATTATTAAATATTTGTAGGCTACAACGAATATGCTCCAAGTAGTAATTACTACTTGTATAGGCTAAAGAGATAATTTCTAAGACAAAATCTTCTTCCAATTCTTTACATGTTTTATATTATTATAATATTATTACTATAGGCTAAAGAGATAATTACTACTTGTATAGGCTAAAGAGATAATATTATTATTATAGGCTAAAGAGATAATTTCTATGACAGAATCATCTTCCAATTTTATAGGCTAAAGAGATAATTACTACTTGTATAGGCTAAAGAGATAATTAGTACTTGTAATATGTACTATCCATGTTTTATATTATTATAATATTATTATTAAATAAGCTATTCTGATTTCTGAGTCTCTGACTCTATGCTATAGAGTACTACTATATGAATTATCACATCATTTGGTAAGACCAATAAATAAATAATATTAAAATATAGATACTAGTGGAAACGCAGCGAGATGAAAACTTACAACAAGATGAAAACGCAGCATACTACTGCTACAATAAGATGAAAACGCAACATACTACTGCTACAACAAGATGAAAACGCAGCATACTAACAAGATGAAAACACAGCAACAACGAAAACAGAGTGTGAAAACAAATACAGAGTGCAAAAACGAAAACAAAAGCTTACGTCTTCTTCTCCGGTTGCGAAATTTTGGAAGCTTCAAGTCTTCTTCTCCGGTTGCGAAATTTTGGAAGCTTCAAGATTATATCGCCGCGACTAACAATTAGGATTCAGAGCTATTGAAAAAATAGGTATTTTGCGTATTTATAACCCACAAATTGTAAACCGGGTCGCACTTGACCCGGGTAAAATATGTGAGATTTTACTTTCAGATTTCGAAATCCATTTATTTTTCCGTGATTTTCGCACCAAAACGATTTTGCTTGCGATCCAGATCGGTGGAGGTGATTGAGATTGCAAAATCGTGCGATTTCACGATCTGCATCGCGATCTTAACAATATTGGTGAAAAGTCTAAGATTGTCCCACATCAAACATATAAGAGATACATATTTATAATAACAAATATCCAACAAACAAAGTCCAAAATCACATGGATTCATGGACTGAATGGAAAAAACTCAGAAACACTATTCTCGTACAGACAACATTATTCACCGTACGAACGTCATTATTCATCCATACAGATAACACTATTCACCGTACGGATGACACTATTCACCTACCAATTTTTTTCTTCTCGATTTTTCGTCTGACTTTCGCGGTTAATACAATCTCCAAAATATGTTTTCTTTCTCTTCATCAAAAAATTTTTTAAGACACATTTACAATGATCTCCACCTTGACTTTAAACCGTGTTTATATCAATCAACAACATTGCTGCTCTCTACCAAGTTGAAACTTTAATCAATAAATTTGGTCAAATTCAAGCAACACTTAAATCTTGATCTTGCAGCTTGTATCCACTTGTTCCCAATAACCCTTTTGTGCCTAGATAATTTAACAAGCCGACAAGTATGATTTTTCAACCATCCTTGACTCCACCTGCTTTCAAATGCCTCTCTGAAGGTTTTTCTTCTTTTATTTTGCAGTCCTTCAGCCACATTAAAAACATAATATCCAAGGCTAGCTTAATCGTCCCTTTGAGATGCTACAATAACCCTCCTTACCTTATCACGAGTCAAATGATAATCAGAGATCTCTGTAATCGTTCCCTCACTACTGATAGCAACCATAGTAGGAAACTCCACCTCAAACTGAGTTTTCTCCATTATAATTTCTCTCAAATTTCTCCCTTGGTTTTCACTATTCTTCTTCTGAAGAAATTCTCTACCAACCAAGTAAATTCTTTTAACCTCAACTCTTCTCCAAAAACTCAATAACAACTCAGCGGTAACATGCATTTTTATTCCTTGATTTCTTGAAAATTCATGGTACTCCTCTGAATCTTTCGCAAGGCATTCATAACGCCTTAAACTCAAATCTCATAGCCTTTCCTTGTTATGAAAGCCTCCACTAGTTAACGATGAATGAATAATAATATTTGAACCTTCTAAAATATATAGGCCACATATTTTAGACCATTTAGCAATAATCAATTCATCACGCGAAATCTTCAACACTTTATGTTCAACTCTAGTACAATAGCCTAGATCATCAAACATACTTATATATAACAAATTTCGCTTAAGTTCTGGAACATACCTCACATTGTGAATAAGAAGTTCATGATCATTAAACATTTTAAATCTGACTGTACCAATACCATAAACCTTGCATGACTTATTATTACCAATGCGAACTACTCCAGCTTGCACCATCTTCAAAGTTTCAAAATATTCTATTCTTAAACACATGTGATAAGAGCAACCTGAGTCAATGACCTAACTATATTCAGTTTCCAAACTAGATAATACTAGTGCTTCGGCATCATCATAACTTTCCTTATCTAATGCAACTACAACCTGAAATTATGGAGGTATGAGTTTCAAAAAACCTCAATGCTTTTAACTATGCAATGGTTGGCAAACAAACGTGGAAACTCATGTCGAAGCAGAATAATCTTGTATCCAGACTCTATAAAGCTCGTTACTTCCCCAACATTGACTTTTTTGATTCTGTCTTAGGCCACAATCGCAGTTACGTGTGGAGAAGTATTTGGAGTGCAAAATTTGTGGTATGTGGAGGTTACAAATTGAGCATAGGCTCCAGAGAAAGCATTTTGGTTTGAAACCAAAATTGGTTGCACGATCGTACCTTCCTGACTAATCCATGGCCGCATATTCATGATGTATCCAGTTTGAAAGTGCCAGATTTAATAAGCAATCACGGTAAGCAATGAAACTCTTATTTGATTATCCCTTTGGTTGGTGAGAAAGCAGCCAATAAAATGCTTAATACTGCATTTTTCGAGCCGGCCCAGGTTGACAAAATGGTCTGGAATTCTAAAAAGGGGTGACAACTACTCGGTGTGTAATGCTTATTGTTTTTGCATAGATGAAACTATTGATACATCTCATCTCAAAATATATGGAAATTGGAACTTAATCTAGAAGATAAAAACACCGCCAAGAGTGAAGAATTTTCTCCAGAGACTTTGCAGGAATTGTGTTCCTTATAGAGTTCGCCTTAAGACTAAAGGTGTAGATTGTCCTATTATTTATGGCGTATGTGGCGTCGAGGAAGGGAGTAATGAACACTTGCAGTGTCGAAACAACAAGGATTGTTGAGAGAAAGTCAAATTCTTAACAAAGTTACAACAACTGCAGAATATTCATGTATGATTGATGTTGTTTTTGCTTTTTTACATGTATCTAATCAGGACTAGCAGGTGATTTTCGCTATTACTTTGTGGAGTTTATGGAAAAGATACCATATGTAGTCGTGATACACATCTTATTCAAGGATGAAGAAATGTCCAACAATTGAAAGTAATCAACCACACCTCTCTCAAGCTCTGTCGGATTCGAAGTGGAGTAAACCATCAGTGGGTCGCCTTAAGTGCAACATTGGTACTTCTTTTCTAATAACAAGGTTGGTATAGGTGCTTGCATCCGAAATGATATTGGTTTCTTTATCTAGGCTCGTACGAAGTGGTTCTCTCTTATCACAGAGGTTGCAACGGGGGACGCTCTAGGATTGTTAGCCTCTATAAAGTGGGTGTCTGCTCTCGGTTATGACAACATCGATTTTGAGATGAATGCAAAAATTGTTGTCTATAGTGTGTATACTCAACATCCTAATCACATAGATTTTGCCTCAATCACTCGAGAATGTAACCGGTTGTTAACTCACTTATTCTCGAACTCTCATGTTAAGTTCGTTAAGAGACAAGTCAATGAAATTGCTCATGCTTAGACACATATGACTCTATTTTATATTAATTTTTACAATTTTATCGAAATTCTAACATGTATGCAAACTCTTATTATTAATGAAATGATTTCAGCTTACTCTTGTAAAATAAAATAAAATAAAACTAGAGGGAGTAATAAAGATTCGAATTCAGTCGTGGTGTTGTGTATGTACATTTCACAAAAATCCGTTGTTTCGTTTCCATGCGAGTCCCACTTAAACTTCTAGAAACTACCATTCCCTTCCCACTCACACTCCATTTCCACGCCAACAATCAACTCTCTCTCTCTCTCTCTCTCTCTCTCTCTCTCTCTCTCTCTCTCGTTTTTGTTATATACCCTATTTCCTTTTCCATTATCAAACACCGCACTCAAACACATTTTCATCTTCCTAGAAGCTTAAACGTTCATTGTAAGGTAACTTTTCGACCGTTCTTCTCTATTTTTTTCCCAAAAAAAAGCTGTAGTACAATAATGTAGTTTCCTCGCTTTCCGATTTTGTTAATTTGATTTTTTCTGTGAAATCGATCATCGACATTTTCTCCTATTTTGGTTTTCTTCAGCTGCATTGACCTCATTGTTGAACACAAAAGATGGGGAAGAAGAACCTTAAAAGAAAGAAAGAAGAAATAGCTGAGGATTGTTGTTTCGTTTGCAAGGATGGTGGTAACATGAGAGTGTGCGATTTTAGGTAAGTTCTGAAACATTAATGCATGCAATTTTTATTATGGAAAATCAAAATCAGTTTCAGTGTTTGATTTCATTTTTCTCATCAACTTCGGTTATGGTAATTTTCATGCTTACTATATATTTCGAAACATTAATCATCATCAAGTGATATTAACCTAGTTTTATGCCCTAGAAATTCATTTTTTTGATGTTCATAATGATGTTTTCTGTTGTATGAGCATGTTCATGTGCATTTTTGGGGATGATCTCTCTGTTTTATACTATTAAATGTCGTTTTAATGGTTGAGATTTTCCTATTTAATGGAATTTTAGGTTTCAATGAACTTCATTTGTTATTCGTTTAAGGTTTTTGCACACTTATTAAGAAATGAAATAATTTAGTACCAAGACATTACACTTTTACTAAATTAACTCTAATGTGTTGGAAGTAGAGTAAAACGTATTCCCTCTTGTCCTTATATAATATAAGAAAAGCTTTACTTTTTAGATTCATTGAAGAATCAATGTATCTGGACTACCTGTAGTCGTACAGATATATTGATTCTCCAATTAATCTAAAAAATAAAATTTTTCTTATATTAAGGATCACATGCAGTAATAATTAATGGATATAATTGGAAAAATAGCAATCATTTTAATATAAAAAAAGCTTTACTTTTTAGATTCATTGAAGAATCAATGTATCTGGACTACCTGTAGTTGTAGTTCAGATATATTGACTCTTCAATGAATCTAAAAAATAAATTTTTTCTTATATTAAGGATCAGAGATAGTAATAATTAATGGATATAATTGGAAAAATAGCAATCATTTTTATGACAAGTGAGAATGAAAGTCATTTTGATATACGAATTTTATTTGCTAAAACGACAGTCATTTTGAAACGGGGGGAGTACTACTTTATTCATTGTTACATTTGTGAAGTTTCTTTTTCTTAATCTGAACGAACAAAATCTTTAAACAAAACAGTTAATGTAACATTTATCATATCATACTATCATATGTGAAATTGAGTGTTATGAGAAATGAATTCCTAACATAGTATGCTAAATTGAGTTTCTTTCTTCCTTGGCGGTAACTAACTGATATGTGTTATGTAATAAAAGGAACATGTGATACTTAATTTTTTTATTTATTTTGAATTTATAGGTCTTGGCATTTTTATTCGGTACAAAATGATTGTAATTTCACTAATACTTTTTTGCTGTCCAAGCATATTTATTTTGAAAAAGGTTTGGCAGGTTGATAAGTTTAGCATCTGCTTGTTTGCTGTTTCTATAATTTCTAGCAGTCATTCAGACTTGTTTCCTATCTTATGCCTTGTGCTTAGCCTTACAAAAATGAGGATAACTGTGAGGTAGCTATAAAGCAGAAGTTGCTGGTATTTAGGTTTTATTAAGTTTTTTTGTTGATTGATTTGTGGTTTACTACCAAAGTTTGGTCATCAGTATCATTAGTATGCTTTAATGTTGAATACTTGGATCATTTTGTACAGACATTATTTTTTGTGACTTACTCGTTTTTTATTTTATGGTTGATTAAAGGGATTGCCTTAAAACTTATCATGCTGAATGCGTGAACGAAGATGCTTCCTTTTTGACAAGTAACAATAATTGGTGTTGTTGTAAGTTGCTTCCCTGTTAATCTCTCTGTCTTTATTATGGGGCATTCAACTACATTTCCCTTACTTTTACTGGTTGATATATTTATGCATTTCATACCACCGTGACAATTGGCCGTCTTAAATGTTTTTGGAAAATATGTTCTTGCCCGGGATACCATCTTAGAATTTACAACATTTTGCTTTCGAACACTATATATTGTTTGAACCTTTATATCTTGAGTTCTGATTTATGTCAAAAATGCTTGAGAAGGTGGTGTTATATCTTCAACTCTAAGATATTTTACTTTTTAAGTGACATATTTATTTATTTTCCTAGCATTGCGATAGAGCACTGCACCAGAATTGGCAACCTTTTTTAACCTATGTTAGTAATTTGTTGTTGTGATTAAATGCATTCTTTGTATGTTCATGTTTAAGAGAATATGGCAAAATGTATTTTAATTATATTGATGCTGAATGACTTTTGAATAACTTTTATAGGGTCACATTATTGCTTCCTATGCGATAAAGCATCAAAGTTTATGTGCTTCTTCTGCCCAACAGCTGTTTGCGGAAAATGTTACTATGATGTTGATTTTGCTAAAATCAAAAGAAACAAAGGATTTTGTAGGCACTGCTCAAAACTTGCATTTCTAATTGAGAAAAATGCTGATGTTGATTCTGATGGTGTAAGTTTTTTTTTTTCAATCATGCCTTATATTATGCACAGCAAAAGAAAGAAACAAAAATTTACAACAGTATGTGGAATCTAAATTCGAAGACCTTGCTATTGCTTATTTTATGTACATTTACAATTATATATTTTTGGCACAAATTGTCGATGTTTGTGGGAAGAGTTTCCAATTATAACTATGCAGGATTGTTGTGCTAGAGCTGTAAATTAAACAGGCACTTGTCCTCTGTTTTTTTGTTATTTTAGTTCTCTATTCTGGAAACATCTTACTAGTGCTTTTGTTTTGATGTCTTTAAACCAACAAACAGGTTCTATTTATGTTTGAAAAATAATCCTAGATTGTCCAAACAGGTTCTATTTTGAATGTGGGTATCTTATTAAATTGTGATGAATGGAATGTTTCACTTTAATGAATAAAATTTTAGCCTGGGCCTAGATATAGAATTTTACCTCATAAACTATAACCAAGTTTGAAAATTTTCTCATTGAACTTTAAAATTGTTTATTTCATTTTTTTTTGTTGGTTGGAAACGTTGAATTGAGTAAAGAAAGTCAATTTCTTTATCCAGGCTGTATAAAATTCCTCTTTATATATCTTATAATAATGTGCTTTTTCATTTGCAGGAAAAAGTAGATATGAAAGATCCAGCTACATATGAAAGTTACTTTGTAGAATATTATGAAGTCATTAAAAGAAAAGAAGGGCTGAATTCCCAGCATGCTCATGCCGCCCGTGACTTGATAAAAAATAGAAAAAAGAAGTGTGACATGGATTCATATGAAATAGGTGATGGGGAAGATGATAGTGGTGAATCTGATGTGAGTAATTTTCTGGGTTCTGATAGTGAAGACCTAGATAGCACAACAGGAGTTAAATCTTCGGGGAGAAAGAGGAAGTGCATGAAAAAGCTAGAATCAATAAAAGGAAAAGTAGTGAAAGATAAGAAAAAAGATTTTGATGGATGGGGTTCAAGAAGTCTCGTAGATTTTCTTAAAAATATTGGTAGAGACACTACCAAAGCGTTTTCAGAACTTGATGTTACTTCGATCATCATTGACTACTGCCATAAAAACAAGCTTTTTGACCCCACGAAAAAGAAAAGGGTAATGTGTGATGAAAAGTTAAAGAATTTACTAAGGCGTAAATCAGTGAATAAAAACAGTATACAAAACCTTCTTGCATCGCATTTTGTAGAGAATTTTGAGGAAACAGATGATATGGTCAGTAGTTCAGAAGAAATGGGTGACAAAGAAGCATTCAAGTTTTCTGAGCAGAGACATTTGAATTCAACTACAAAATCTTGTCCGAAAGTAGTTTCTCAAGAGCTTCCAAGTGGATTTGCAGCTATAATTAGTTCAAACCTAAAACATGTCTACTTGAAGAGAAGCTTAATTGAGGAGCTTTTGAAGCAACCAGAAAGCTTTGATGGCAAAGTATTGGGAAGTTTTGTTAGAACCAAAACCGACCCAAATGATTATTTACAGCATAATTCCCATCTGCTCTTGCAAGTAATAGGTAATCTTGGTCATGTCTTGAAAAATCAACCATACGACCTTTTTTTACTAGTAGTTAATTATACTAGCTTCAGGTTTTTAAGTACACTGCCATAGCATCATATTGCCATTTTTCTTGGTCTTATTTTTAAAATGTTGTCATAAGTTCAACATAAGCATCAATTCCCTAATAATGCACAGTAGCATACTTTTGATGTTGCAGCTTTTAGTAAGATATGCTCGTTTAACCTAGTCAACATTGTGGCAGAATAAGGAGTTAAAAGAATGAAAAATGATGTATACATGATTGTTATAGATGTTGTATATATTGTGGGAAATGACACTAGTATATTGTAATGACTGGCTTCAAATATTACGAGAAACGAATTACCACTTTAAAATATGCTAGTTAAATACTCTCTCCGTCCCACAATAAGTGACCCATTTGGAATAAAAGAGTGTCCTAAAATGAATGACTCATTTCAATTTCCAATTCATTTTTTCCAATTTTACCCTCTAAATAATATTATTTTCATCATTTTCAATACATAATAAGGGTACTTTAGTAAAAATATTATTATCTCTTTCAACTGTGTCACTCATTGTTGGAGGGAGGGAGTAAAAAAAATGGAATATTTAAAACAATAAATATTGAAAAGGACAACTTTGCTATAGAATATGTAATGTTATAGAATACGTTGTATAGAGTGATATGTTGTGTGAAGTGGCTTTAGTATATGTACTGATTGTCTCTCTTTTTTTAAATTTGATTAGAGTGAAATACTTTTTATTCTTCTAATTGAGTAATAATAAATTTTTCATCGTATATTTAAGACCTAAATTTGATTAAGTACATGACAAATTTGGTTTTGCTTCATGATTCTAAATTACATGTATTTTTAAATACATGTAATTTTGACAACAATTTGCTATAATTGGTAGAAAAAGAATATTGCACATAACTAAGTCATACATTGTATCCAAAGCTTTCATTGGTAGGAAAAGAATATTGCACATAGCTAAGTCATACATTATATCCAAAACAATTTGAGAAAAGAATAATGAAGTATAACATTGAATGGTTTAAGTAGTGTTCTTTCTTGGCATATTACATTGCTGCAGAAGGAAGTCAACACAAGTGATTTTCTTTTACTAGATATCATACTTTTCTTATATGCTTACATTGATATTTGTTTCCACATCACAGGAATTAATAGATCATCTAAAAAAGGCGAAATCAACCAAGAAATTCTGCTCCGGCTTTCTAATGTGCCAAAAGACGTACCTATCAGCAAAATTTCTGATGATGACTTTTCTGAGGTATTAATACTGTGCTAACAGTATTTTCTGCTGCAATTTCTCCCATTTCTGAAACCTGGTTGCATACAAGGTAGCAGTTTCCAAGTAAAAGTGGAAACTGATTTTCTAAACTTTCTATAAGATGTTGAACATAGTGTATTATTTCCAAAGTAAGAGCATAGCTGGGTTTCTTATGCGAATGTATTGATGTCATCCGATATGATTTGTGTATCTGTATTCTTCAAGGAAATTATGCCTAGGTTATGGATTCTGCTGTAAAGTTTGCACTTACCCTTGTTGTTCATGTATATTCCATGGGTTCCTAATTATAAGCATTGTCTGCAGGAAGAATGTCAAGATCTGTACCAGAGAATGAGTAATGGTCTGCTCAAAAAGCCAACTACAGTAAGTTTGCTGTGTGTGAGTCATTTATGCTTGGTCATCTGTTCAGATATAACATGATCCTCGTAAGTCTTCAGATTTTGATAGTTAGAATTTATTATTTACGGGGACCATATTATATTATCTGACTGTACTAGTTATAATTTTCAGCCTATTGTCTTGAGAAACATAATAGTTAGAATTTATTATCTTATGGGGACCATAATATGGTCATCTGTTCAGAATTTTCAGATAGTTAGAATTTTCAGCCTATTGTCATGAGAAACATAAGCATCCTATTGATTTAATATCTCATAATCTAGGTGTTTTTTGCTTTAGTTTTGTGTCACCTTTAATTTTTGTCATTTTGGCCAGCATTTATTTTATGGGTTTTCCCTTGTGTGAGCTGTGTTTCTTATGAGTAAGAATTTGATTTGTTAAATAGTAACTGATAGGATTTGTAGTGACCAAATGATAACCACTTGTGTGTTTCACAGCTGGAGCTTGAGCAGAAAGCTAGAACTCTGCACGAAGATGTGACGAAGCATGTATGTCGCATATCAATATTATTCTGCTGTGTAATAAATCCATTTTTTTCCTATTGTTAAGATAGAGCTGAATATAATTCAAAGTGAAGTTACTTGGACTCTAGCATGTGAACATTGGCTATGCATCATGAAATTCAGCAAGGGCAAAATCTCACTATTTTCCTGCATCCAAAAAACTTACTATACAAGCATAGAATTTACATTCACATAATTGTGAAATTTACTTGAGCATGTGCCAGGAGGCGGTAAATCTATAAATCATACTAAAAATTTAAAATACGCCCTTATGTTATCCCTTGAATCCTCTATCCCCAACAGTTCATTTATCTAATGGATTATTAACATTGTTGAACATTTATGATTCCTTTAGAATATAAAAGAACCTCCGATCTACCATATTTTGTTACTGATATTCATCTTTATATGGCAGTGGATCTCGAGAGAGATAGCAGTGTTGCGAAATCGCATTGATCTGGCCAATGAAAAGGGATGGAGGAGAGAATATCCTTTCATGACATTTTTGTCAATGTTACGTTATATTAGAAGCTAAAATCTAAAATGTGAATTGTTCCCTAATTTAGTGCTGACAATTTGTGCCTTAACCATATTTCCATACGCTTGCTCAGTACATGGACCGAAAAATGAAGCTGGAATCTCCATCAGAACAATCACGCTTATTAAGTGAAATGCCAGAAGTAATTCCTGAAATGGTTAATACCAATCTGTCACCAGAAGACTCCTCCAGGAAAGATAAGCTGGAATTTCCATCAGAACAATCACGTTTATCAAGTGAAATTCCAGAAGTAACTCGGGAAATGGTTGATACCAATCTATCACCAGAAGACTCCTCCGGAAAAGATAAGCTTGAGCAAAATGATTTGTCAGAATTAGCCACTGGAGAGACTCGTAACTCTGTTGAACAATGTTCCACACATGATGGTTTTGCTCGATGTCTGGATAAGAGAACAGATGTTGTAGGTCTGTTAGGCTTTCCTATCTAAACTCTCTCTGCTTTCATAAATATATATTGCATGCTTATAACTACTTCAGTTTTTAAACATTCTTTATATTGTGTTCATGATATTGCATCTGTTGTTATTTTCACATTCTTGTCATGCTGTGATTTATCATTTTATCAAGATCCTCTCTACAGTGACGACTCAGGAGCCAAATATACTGGCTGGAGTTAATAGCCCAATAGTACAGCAGTTGAGTTATAGCGCCAAGATATGGAAGGTATATTCCAGGAAAGGGAAGATGTGAACACATGCGGACACTTAGGGTTAGAGAAGGCTATGCTTTTTAGAAATTGAGTAGGGCCCAGGAAGAATAGAAGACGGGAGGTGGTTCTGAAGAGGGCAGGGACATGGTTTTTTATGGAAGGCAAGATGCATTATGGTTTTATAAAATCGGCTTTGGGCCTAGTCAGGCAGGAAGTTGGCATTTACCTGGCTGCTGCTTGTGATTATGTTTTGCTTGTTTCCATTTTCTACTCATGTACTCTGATATCTCAGTATCAGTTCAATATAATATAGCCTTTAATGTTTTATTTGGCGGTAAAGGATCGCTTTCTCAGAGAATTTATAATCCAAGGGTGATATTTTTATTATTTTGTTATTATATTTGATTGACTATATCCTTCTTTTGAGGTTCTTTACACAGAAAAAAATTTAATGTACCACTAAGTATATATAAAATGTAGCTCACAATACCATGTGTTTGTACCAAGTATATTTTTGGTAGTCTTTCCTGGCACTGTTGAATATTTGTATGTCCAACCAAGTAACACTAAATCTGATTCTTTTGATGTAGATTACAGAAATCTGAGTGTTAACATGGATGTCAATCAGACAATAAAAGAAAGACAAAGGGTTACCCTTGCTGATTCTGTTAAGGCAACTGCCATAGATGTTATTATGTTAAGTGACAGCGATGAAGATGATTTAAATATTAAAGTCAATTCAGCTGAAAGAAAGGAAGTTGAGACTCCTAAAGTCTCTTCCACAGGAAGAAAAGGAGTAGAAAGTCCTGAAGTCATTTCAGCTTGGAGAAAGAGATTTGAGACTCCTGAAATTCCTACCGCAGGAAGAAAAGGAGTAGAAAGTCCCGAAATCATTTCAGCCGGGAGAAACAGATTGGAGACTCCTGAAATTCCTAGCTGGCTATGTTCGGGTGTTTATGGTGGGGGAATAAGAGGACCATTTTCATTGTCTGTACTCAAACTCTATTTTGAATCTCAATCTGCTAATTCTTCTCCCTTAGATTTCAAGGTATGGAAGACAGGTGAGAGTGAAAGAGAGGCAATTCCTCTGAAGGATGCACTTAGGCTCTTTTCTCCCCAACGTGAGGAGTAAATCAAAATGAAGAAATCATCTCTATGGGATGCATCATCACTACTCATGATTAGCATAGTTGTATATTTTTGTTTCTCCATTAGCTGCTTTTTTGTAATGTTGCTAGTGAAAAAGTATTTTATCCATGACAGTTTGTGAATGATAAAAAAAATATGCTATTTTGAATCTTTAACATGGTTTTATTCTATTGTAGTCCTTGCCATATAATTTGAGCACAAAATAGGAAGCTTGACATTGTGATGCTTTTGAAAATTTCTAATCGCAAAGTGAATACCAATCATACATATGTTTGAAACCATTGTCACGGCTGAGAGTCTGCAGTAAATCAAAGTTTCATTAGTAATGTTATATCTTTGCATATGTTGCTCATATAAAACATGTAGAATTACAAGATTAACACTTAGATTTCTGTAATCTACATCAAAAGTAAATAGAGCAATTTTGAAGTTCTCTTCTAGTAGAGTAAAAAGCAAATAGTGCAATTTAATCTAACTTTATTTGAGTGATCAGTTTCTTTCTATTAGGTAATGGTAATGGTGTTATTAATGTTAAATTATATTGTATAAAAGTTAAATTATACTGCAAAATATGTCATTAATTTAAAAAAAAAAACATGTGTATTTATACATCACTAACAACAAAAAATTCATTTATTTTAAGTTTTTTCATACATTTGCTTAGAAGCTACACGACCTCTCTATTATGTAAGAAAGCCTTCTAACAAAGGAGTGGCAATAATTCTAACAATATTGGTGATATGATAATTCAATGTTTGAAAATGGCAAAATATCATATCAGGCCATTTTACAAAACTAAGAATGTATTTTGCACAACAGTTTTGGTTTTCAATGAAGCAGGGAATCCTTCTATTTTGGTTTTCAATGAAGCAGGGAATCCTTCTATTTTGGTTTTCAATGAAGCAGGGAATCCTTCTATTGACTGCTGCTTGCAGCATTTTCTTTCCTGAAAACTCGCAACTGTTCCTTGAACTCTTTGCTCTTTTCAAAGTTGGCCTTTCTCTTCACGGCTTTCTGTTTGAACAGACAATTATTACACAGCCACATGAAAACCAGATCAATGCAAAGATCATTAGAATAAAAAATAAGGAAAAGAAAATAAAAACTGAAAACCTCACTTCTGCTCTAAAGCAACGATCCAATTTTATTTTCAAATCTGTACATTCGCCAAAGAACTTTGCAATAGGGTGTTCCACATGACACTTTTGAAACTCCTCAATAATCTACATAAAAGCATATATAATACAGTTGTTCATATTTGCTGGACCTAATATGATAACTTTTATTACCAAAAGAATAAGATAAATGATCTAAACTTCTAAATTGAGTAAATTCACACATGAACTCTAAAGTCCACTATGACCTGCCAACATATACATTGTAACAATATTTCTAACAATATCTACTGCTGGGGATTGGACTCAAAATGTGGAACCAATAATCATGTTTACTACTGGGGATTGGACTAATCAAACTTGACGAGTCCAATTATCATTGAAAATAGAAATAATATCATTTGATAGTACAAAGATCAATTTGAATATTGATGACAGAATCAAGACACTCAAAAGTTTCCCTTTCTACATGCAATGAAAAAACAAATGGTTACAAATATATGATAGAACAAGGACACTCCCAAAACCATCTCTTGTGAGCTTGGTCTAAACTCATATATGGTCCCCAACAATCCCACCTGCTAGATCTTGCATTGGTTGGAGATGTATTCATAACTGAATACCTACAAACTACAGCCTTAAACAACGGGGTTGCACATGTGGTATCTATCTCTGGCCTCGGCTATCAAGCAAAGTAACTTTCTAACCATTTCATCGGTTTTTCTTTACCACATTTTTTACTACTAATAGCCATTAATATCATGACATTGACATAGAAATATATCAAAATGATCATAAACAACAAATACATTATTAAGAATAACAACAAGAGCATAAACACTTGTAATAACAAAGAATCAACCATTAAAAAAGTGATAAAACAAACTCACTTCTGCGCACATAGGGTGTTTGTGCAATGTTAAAGGAGGATGCATCTTCTCCCAAACAACCAAATCAATCAGCAACACCTTCTCCTGCAATTCAACCACCAACATGTATCATGAAAACTTCTATAAACCAAAAAGTTGGAATTGACATAGATAAATTCCATTGCAAAAGAACTAGGGTTTGAAATCTACAGCAGTAAAGTATTAGAATATAAGAAGAAGAAGAAACGGAATCGATTAAAGTGAAATTCAACGAAAAAATCGAAAATAAAAGTCATAATTAAAATTCTCGTAAGGAGTAGAATATTAGAAGTGAAACGAAAATGAACTTACTAGATACAAAATAGCGATAAAGGGAAGGGTTAAGGCAGAGTTTTAGAAGGCGATGCTGGCCGTGAGGGTCTGGAGAAAATGGAAGAACGAACACAGTATCCCTTGAAATCAAGTTTTTTTTTTTTTTTTTCTAAATAAACTTTTCTTTTTATGATTTTTTTTAAATAGTAAAATTTAATTTTATATTTAAACAATTTTTGTCATTCTTTCTTCTTTTTGGTAAAAAAAGTAGTGATGTGTAATTTCTTTTAGAACACGTTGAGTTGAGTGGACACAAGTCGGACAACGTTACTTTTTATTTTCTTAAATTTATTAATTATAAAAAATACACATATAAAAAAATATTGAAAGTAATGCTTTTTTTAGTTAGTTTTATGTAAAAAATAAATTTGTTTTCCAAACCTTTGATATAAATATTTAATAATGATAGTTTATAATTTAATTTATTATAGTTTTCACATTATATAAAAAAAATACTAATAAATTTTGTAAGTATAAGTAAAAGACCATGGGCATTGTCGGTCTTGAGAATTTGGAAGCTTTAGATTGAATAATTGAATTTTGAGTCAAAAACAAATTTTTTTTAACATTATATTAACCAAAATATATTACATATTAAATTCAACAATTAATATTTATATATTTATTTAAATTTTATAATTTATGAAAAATAATTTTGAGACCTCTATTTTTTGGAGTTTCTGAGATGTGTTGTGCTTGCTCGGATCCAAGTCCGCCCTTGATCATGAGTGTAAGTAAATACTATTTTGATATTATTTATAGGTTTAATAGCAATTTTAGTCTCTCTATTTTTACTCTTTTTTTTTATTCTCCTGTTTTAAAATACGGAATTTTTGTCCTTTCATTTTTAGTTTTTTTTTAGTTTTGGTCCTCCTATTTTAAAATGCAGAATTTTGGTCCTTCTATATTTCATTTTTTTTAGTTTTGATCTCCTATTTTAAGTTTTGTTTTGGATTTTAGTCCCCTTTTTAATTTGGAACTAATTTAATATGAGAATCAAAAGTTAAAAAAAAAAAAAAAATAAGGAGACCAAAACTCAAAAAAACTGAAAATAGAGGGACAAAAATTTCCAATTTTAAAATAGGAGGATCACAAAAAAAAAAAAAAAAGAGGATCAAAATTGCAATTAAGCCTATTTTATAAAATTTATCAATTACATTAAATAGTTTTTTTTTTTCAATTTAAGTTTATGATTTAATAGTATTATACGATAAAATTAAAATGCTTAATCTTCTAAATATAACAAAATTCATTCAAATAATCAAACATGTAATACAAACAAATTAAAATACAGAAAAACAATCTACCATTAATCTAAATATTATGATCTGGAAGAAGAAAAGTGTTATGGACTGGGCCAACACCTGTCTCACAATCGGGCAGGCCCAACCAAATACTACGTTGGAAAGGCCCAACAAAGCCCAATCATCCTTCATGTAGGACACGTTTGATTATGTAGTCGGACAGACCACTACCTAGCATGGGGAGAGCTCACATGTGTTCCCCACATTCCCCCACGCGGGAACATGTCATTGGGCAACTATCCACTTTCGAAAGAACTGGTAATCCCACCTTCCGAAGATCACAGGACAGTTGATCCAGGGTGAAGACCACATGCTAGTCTTCCCTACGCCACGTAAGCCCTGGCAGTTACTTGTATTGGACCTTGCAATCCAACTCAATGCAAAGTAACTGTTGGCCTTGTGTTGGGGGAATATTATAAATACCCTCTTTCACTAGAGGGTCGAGTATTCTATTCTCCACACCTATTTTCTTTGTACATGCTCTTTCTAACTCTGTTACTCACTTAGGAATTGGAGTACCTTACAAGTATACCCCCTCCTACTCCTATTCAACACCGATGAACACAGGAGCTCACGACGCGTGGCAGCCTGTTGATTCCTTTCTGATCAGATAAGATTAGTGGCGCCGTTTGTGGGAATCCTTTGCTCTCATGTTCTTTCTCCTATAGAAGCATAGAAGCTCAAGAATAAAATCAACATTCAACTTCCGTTTGATCATGGTCAGCCCATGCAATGACAATGCTCTGGAATCCGCCTTCGCTCCAATCACCAACGGTGACGGCCACGACCCCAATGTGATTGTTCACGTCGAAGAGGGTGACTCTAGGGACGGGCCCACCGCCTCTCCCTCCTCGGAAGACGCGACCTTCAACGTCGCCTGATGCTTTGATATCCCGACTGTCTACCAGCCAATCTCGGTGCCACCCAGCATCAACCCTACCATGGTGGCTATGTTCGCGGCGGTCAACCAGACCAATCTGATGATCTTCCAACAAAATGAGCGCATAAGGATGCTCGAGAAGGAGCGACAATCACGCTCTCCCTCGTGGAGACATTGTCGCCCCGTTTCCAGCAGCCCCTCTCCTCTCCCGCGGAGGACGTGACACCACGACTCTCAGATCCCTTCTTCGTGACAGACTGGACGTCGCCCTCGCTTGGAGCAGCATCAGCCAGTGGCCTTCTAAAAGCGCGGTCGGTCACCTTCCCGGAATGAGTGACACTCCCTTACTCAGAAGAGGAGCAAAGCTAAAGGAGTCGTTGAAAAGCCAAAGAGTCGGACGAGTAGTCCTCCCTGATGAAACATAAACAATCAGGGTGACCTTTCCCCTTCTCGGTCACCTATAAGAAGCGCGAGGACGACCAACGCTCACCTCTGTCTAGGGCCATCAAGGAGACTCTATTGCCCGTCGGGATGAAAAAACCCCGACCTTGGCGACTTATGATGGTACGGCCGTCCCAGATGACCATATCGAAAGCATCAATGTGATGCTAGACTATCAAAACGTCTGTGGAGCCATCAAGTGCAGGCTTTTCCTCACTACCCTGAGGAAGGGTGCTATGACGTGGTACAAGTGCCTCGCGCCTGAATCCAGCACTTCCTGAGGCGAACTTAAGAGGCAGTTCTTCTGGCACTTCACAACTTCTCGGCGTCATCCTAAGATGGAAGCATCCCTGGAAACCATCATCCAGGGAAAATATGAACCTCTTCGGGATTACATAGAGAGGTTCAACCGAGAAGCTGTCCAGGCGTCCACCTCGAACGACATGAAGATATTTCAGATCGAGCGAGGACTGCGGCCTCGCATCGACTTCGCCAAGGCTATCATGTTTGAAAGACTCCATACCTTAAATGCTCACCTCCTCAAGGCCCAATCATACATCCAGTATGAGGAAATAGAGGTCGCCCACTGCGCCCGCGACATGCGGAATCAAGAAGTCATCAGCTGCACGAGGACACTGCTGCTCCTCGAAAAGGAGGGGAAAGAAGAAGAGAAGATCGACCCTGAGAACAGAGGGGGCCAGCAGGCCGCTTCACTAACTACACGCTACTCATAGCTCCCTGCGAGTGCATCCTGTCCAAGTGTATTAACTCGGAATTTCAGAGAGGTGGTTTCTGTTTTTTGAAACTGACACCCCCAAGCCCAACGTCGACAAATCTAAATACTGTTAATTCCACCGTAGTCATGGACACGTCACGGAAGATTGCATCCACCTCAAGGATGCAATCGAGATCCTAATTAAGTAGGGGCACCTAAAATAGTAGACCAAAAGAAGCGAGGCTCCTCGATAGGAGACCCGCGAAGCCAAGAGGGTCGAGGAGGTGTCACCACCCTCTAAAGAAGTCGGAATGCAGGCTGCCCTGTGTGTTTCCCGGCCATGAATTTCTCCTTCCCGGCAAGCCCAACACACTGTTGTCCGCCCGCAGTCCATGAGAGGACTTCCTCGTTGCATTGGTCATATCCGACGGGGCCTTAGCAAGCTCTCAGTCGGGTCGGTTAAGAGTAAATTCGAGGAGTTGATCGACAAGATCTCAAAGAAGAGTGCCACCCTTGACAAGTTTAAAGGTCAATCAAACCTGATTACCTTCTACCTTTAGGAGCTAGCGGGGGGTGCAACCAATTCCAGCATCCCCCTCTTGATCAGGGCTCAGATGGCGAACTTTGATGTGCGTCGAATCCTAGTCTACCAAGGGAGTTCGATGGACATAATGTACACCCATATGTTTACTACTCTCCAGCTCGACGAGAGCCACCTGACCCCGTTTGTCGGCTCTGACCTACAGGGCTTCAACGGCACCACCACAAAGCCTTGGGGATACGTGAAGTTTCTCGTCACATTCGGAACCGAGAAGACCGCCATGCAGGTGAAGGTTTGCTTCTTGGTGATCGAATGTCCCTCTTTGTACCAGTGCATCACGGGTAGGCGGGCCTTAGCTGAACTGACCGCAGTACCATATACAGTGCACCTAAAGATGAAGTACTACACGACCAGAAGTCGAGTCGTCACCCTCCACGGGGACATCGAGGCGGCCAGGAAATGTTTTGAGGCAGCAATCAAAGGCCTCAACTTGATCAACATCACCCCCAAGACGATAGGAAGACCATCCCATGCCGAAGAGCAGAAGCCATTACCCCGCGTCAACTTCGTCGATCTCGACAACCGCTTCCCTAGCAAGCAAGAGCAGAGTGCAGAGTCTGAAGACGCACTTCCAGCAGACAACAAACATCCTTTCCACCCAACGCGCCTCATTCTAGATGGATACTTTGAGCTCATCACGCTCGAAGAGGACCCAGGAAGAAGCGTGAAGATTGGCACGGGACTCTCCGACCTGGTGAGGAAGCAGCTAAAGCTCTAGGAGAACACTAACCTGTTCGCATGGAGCCCTGCTGA